TTCCTTGACAGTGGTCAACTTGCAGGCAACTTTCACACATGACATGCAAGTCCATCGATAAGATGTAACCTGTCTGGCATGTGGGCACAGACGGATGGTCTTCGATTTTTTTAATGAAGTCATCTTTATTCTTCTTTTTCTTTTCTATTATTATTTCTTAGAAGTAGTGTTCTTAGCATTGGCTGAAGAAAAACGGGAGTCGATCTCCGGCCCAGATGCAATTTATAACGGACCGGGTGGGGCCCATACAGCAGGTGGGCGTGGACTAGAAGTTTTCAGTGTTCAGCGAACTGCGCGCGGGTAAACCCAATAGCGACAGCTTTTAAAGGGCATAGCTTACACAAAATAGAACCATTTTGGCGTGTTCTGAGTGGCCAATTACTGAAAATCATCTATTCTAATCCGTACACATATTGTTGCCCTCCTCCATCCACAATGTAACAGCTTCAGTCAGCTTTGCACCCACATTGGCAGCCACCCTCACATTCATCACTAAAGTGAAAATGAAACGTGTTGTCATCCTTGCATGTGCCTGTCCTTTGCATTTGACAAATCATGAGATACACTCATGTGGAGCAGCAGGAAACTATTTAAGCACCCATGGGGACGTTTAGGAATAGGTGCTTTGCTCAAGGACTCCACGAGAACAAGGCATGGCTGGGAATTGAACCTGTGACTTTCTGGTTCCAAGTTAGCTGCCCCATTTTTGTGCAACAGTTGCTCAATCTGCTGTAGAACACTTAAAATAAGGTAGGCAGATTTGGACCAGTGTCTGTACTGTACCCAGTCATGGAGGGAAGAGGGGAAATTGGAAATACCCCCCTCCCCCCACAGCAAATGTTGCGAGAATGATAACTTGAAAAATAAGTGAGGTATCAAATTCTATTTTGGTGTGTGTCTGCATCTAGGAGTAAGAAAGGTTCCTTTAAAAAATTGGGTTGCCACGTTGAAATCCAAGATGGCTGCTGCCATATATGTATTTATATAGACTGTGTGGGCTAGAAAACTTCAAAAAATAAGTAACGTGCTGACTTCCATTTTGGCATGTGGCTGCACTGAGGCATAAGAAAGGTCACTAGCAAAAATTGTGTTGTCACGTCAAAATTTAAGATGGCTGACACCATCATGTAAACTGACCACCTCTGTCATTTGAAAAAAATAAGCTTTCTAGTTTTTATACTGCATAAAAGTATAGTTTTCTCTATTGACTGGGGTGGCTAAAAATTTATCTATAGGGGCCAAGGCCACCATTGGCTGCTCCCTGGCTCCACCATTGTGCCTGGTGATGGATAAAATTGCTCCCTCCACACTCGCAGGAGCACTCTGCACTGCCTCAGAAAAATATCAATAATATTACCTTTGTTCTCCTACACAGTGTAACTCCTACACATTTGAATATCTTGTACAAACCGGATTCCTAAAAAGTTGGGACACTAAACAAATTGTAAATAAAAACTGAAAGCAATGATGTGGAGGTGCCAACATCAAATATTTTATTCAGAATAGAACAAAAATCACAGATCAAAAGTTTAAACTGAGAGAATGTATCATGGTAAGGGAAAAATCTGTTGTTTCCAAATTTCATGGCATCAACAAATCCCAAAAAAGTTGGGACAAGTCCAATTTTACCACTGTGTGGCATCCCCCCTTCTTCTTACAACACTCAACAGACGTCTGGGGACAGAGGAGACCAGTTTCTCAAGTTTAGAAATAGGAATGCTCTCCCATTCATGTCTAATACAGGCCTCTAACTGTTCAATCGTCTTGGGCCTTCTTTGTTGCACCTTCCTCTTTATGATGCGCCAAATGTTCTCTATAGGTGAAAGATCTGGACTGCAGGCTGGCCATTTCAGTACCCAGATCCTTCTCCTACGTAGCCATGATGTTGTGATTGCTGCAGAATGTGGTCTGGCATTATCGTGTTGAAAAATGCAGGGTCTTACCTGAAAGAGATGACGTCTAGATGGAAGCATATGTTGTTCTAGAACCTGAACATAGTTCTCTGCATTATTGGTGCCTTTCCAGACATGCAAGCTGCCCATGCCACAAGCGCTCATGCAACCCCATACCATCAGTTACCATCAGTGATGCAGGCTTCTGAACGGAGCGTTGATAACAACTTGGGCTATCCTTGTCCTCTCTGGTCCGGATGACATGGTGTCCCAGTGTTCCATAAAGAACTTCAAATCGTGACTCATATGACCACAGAACAGTCTTCCATTTTGCCACACTCCATTTTAAATGATCCCTGGCCCAGTGCAAACGTCTGAGCTTGTGGAGCTTGCTTAGAAATGGCTTCCTCTTTGCACTGTAGAGTTTCAGCTGGCAACGACGGATGGCACGGTGGATTGTGTTCACTGACAATGCTTTCTGGAAGTATTCCTGAGCCCATTCTGTTATTTCCTTGACAGCGGCATTCCTGTTTGAGGTGCAGTGACGTTTAAGGGCCTGGAGATCACGAGCATCCAGTAGAGTTTTACGGCCTTGACCCTTACGCACAGCAATTGTTCCAGATTCTCTGAATCTTTTGATGATGTTATGTACGGTTGATGATGATAACTTAAAAGTCTTTGCTATTTTACGCTGGGTAACACCATTCTGGTATTGCAGCACTATCTTTCTGCGCAACAACGGTGGAATTGGTGATCCTCTTACCATCTTGGCTTCTGAGAGACACTGACACTCTGAGAAGCTCTTTTTATACCCAATCATGTTGTCAATTGACCTAATTAGTGTTAATTGGTCTTCCAGCTGATCGTTATATGCTCAATTTCCTTTTTCCAGCCACTTATTGCTACTTGTCCCAACTTTTTTGGGATTTGTTGACACTGTGAAATTTTGAATCAACATATTTTTTCTTTAAAATGTTACATTTACTCAGATTAAACTTTTGATCTGTCATCTATGTTATATTACGAATAAAATATTGACATCTCTACATCATTGCATTCAGCTTTTATTCACAATTTGTTTAGTGTCCCAACTTTTTTGGAATCCGGTTTGTTCAAAACACATTAAAGTTTTCTTACATTCCCTGTTCAACTCCAGTCAAGAAAAACACTCATCTAGAAAACTAGAAATATTCACTATTCAATCCTTCAGCATTGGGGAACATAGGCATACAACTTCTCTCCATCCATCCACTATCTTTTACCTGCTTCTTCCATTTTGGGTCATGGGGGTCGCTGGTGCCCATGTCCAGCAATCACTGTGCGAGAGGTGGGGGACACCCTGGGCAGGTCGCAAGTCCATCACAGGGACACGGAGACAAACAACCATTCACTCTCTCACTCACACCTAGGGACTCACTCACACCTAGGTACCGCAGGGGTCCATCCTCGGTCCCCTTCTCTTTTCTTTATACCTGCTGCCACTAGGTGCTATCTTCCGCAAACACGACATACCCTTTCATTTCTATGCCGATGATTGCCAAATTTACTTCCCCCTGAGGCACAGAGGCACACACTCTATTCAGCCTCTTCTTGACTGCCTGGCTGACATCCGGGACTGGATGGCTTTAAACTTCTTAAGCTTCAATGAGAAGAAGTCTGAAGTCATGCTGTTCCATCCCAGTGGCTCACTCATGAACCATGACATTGACCTTTTCTCTCTAGCCCCGCTAGAGAAACAAAAGGTGACTAATCTGGGGGTGATAATGGACCCGTCCTTAAAACTCAACAGTCACGTAAACATGATGGTCAAATCCTGTTTTTTTCAGCTGAGACGGCTGTCTAAGCTGAAGCCTATACTCTCCAAAAAAGAACCTCGAGACAGTGATCCACGCCTTCATAACATCTAGGCTTGATTACTGCAATTCACTTCTGTTTGGAATCAGTCAGTCCTCCATTGCTCGTCTACAACTGGTCCAAAATGCTGCAGCCCGATTTTTAACTGGTACAGGCTATAGAGAGCACATCACGCCAGTTTTGGCCTCCCTGCACTGGCTACCCATTCACCTTCGGATCCATTTCAAAATTCTCATGTATGTTTTTAAATCACTGAACAGTTCCGCCCCATCCTATCTCACTGATCTTCTGCAGCCATATGTCCCACCGCGCTCTCTGAGGTCAGCAGACCAGATGCTTCTCTCAGTCCCAGAAACCCGTCGTAAGCTCAGAGGTGACAGGGCTTTCTCTGTTGCAGGTCCACGACTGTGGAATGAGTTGCCACTGAGTGTCCGGCAGGCTCCCACACTCTCAGTCTTTAAGTCTCGCTTGAAGACCCACTTCTATTCGCTTGCCTTTAACACGGTGTGATTTGTTTTGGTCCGGTCTGTTCTCTACTCTGTTGGCCATTTTAGTTAGCTTCTGCTGCTATTTGTATCTGTATTTCTATTTTATGTTTTCCTGTCTGCTGTGCATGTTTGGTTCTTTTGTACAGCACTTTGGTTGGCCTTGTTGCTGTTTTAAGTGCTATATAAATAAATTGGTATGGTATGGTATGGTATAGGGACAATTTAGAGTTACCAATCAGTGTAACATGCATGTTTTTGGTCTGTGGGAGGAAATCGAAGTACCTGGAGAAAACCCACGCATGCACGGAGAGAACATGCAAACTCCACCCAGGACCGGGGTTTGAACCAGGGACCTGCTCGCTGAGAGGCAGCAGCTCTACCAGTTGTGCCACCCATGTATGCCCATGGCATATAACTTGTTATTTATTATTTATCATTGGTGTGGGTATACCTGGACATTCGGGGTTGTTGTCATAAGAGGAGCTGCTGTGCAAGTGTCAAAAACCTGAGATCTTTCTAGTGATTTTAAGATTAAAGTTACTGTGCCCATTTTTTTAAACAGTTTTAAAATGAAAGGGACTGGTTCTAGGAGTCAAGAACCTCCACAAACTATTTGAAAACTCCCTTACTACTGTATCTAACTTTATTTTACCACAACTTTTACCCAGTTCAGCAACGTCACAGCTAACAAAACGCACGGAAAAAGAAGCTGAATGAATAATTAAATCAGACGTCTAATAGTAAAATGAAGGTTGCGGTTTCTTACTTCAGACCAAATTTAACTTTCTTGTTCTCCACCATCAGGTCACAGATGAAGCGAACAGAGAGGTAGCGCAACAGTTTGATGTCATGACCTCTGACCTTGTCAAAGAGTTGGGATTCTCCATTCCTAAGCAGCAGGACATAAGGAATTGCAAACATTTATCCAACAGATCAAATGATGTGGTTTTGTAACAGAAAACAGAATTTAAGTTATATTCTCATCAGGTATGGAGCAAAGAATGCTGATGTTTTGTGTTACAGATGATTTTATTACCTGACTGCACTGTCATCATCTGGTAGCACTTCTGACTCAGTCCAAGTGTCATCACTCCCCCCTACAAACAAACATAAACTTCAAACACTGCTTAGACATATTGGAGCAACATTTTTGTATGAAAATTGTATTCCATGTGCATGACTCTTCTTCTTGTGATATTCCTGCTATATGTCAGTATTTTTTCAGTAGTGCCACATATGGAGCTTTGCCACAGTCTCAACCCTCATGGGCACCACACCAGTTAAGGGCCTGCCCACTGCCGGTACCCACCCTCACTCAGCCTGGCTTATGGGACAGCCTTGTTTGAGGTTCCAAGCGAACTGCTCAAAGGTAATGATTTTGATGTAAGCAGATAAAAGCCGTTGACTGGCCAGCAGAGCTACAGTAAGAGCACCTGCCCAGCGAAACTGCTAACTTGTATTCATTCCCAATGAAAATCTTTATTAAAAGTAAAACATTACAAAGACCTGACTGAAAAATGTTGGATTGTATACCTGGATTATTGAGCATGGACTTTGTTGATTACAAAGACAGTTTTCAACATGCATTCAAACAAATAAACAAAAGCCAGGGGAATTATTCACTTCAATTCAGTTTATTTATATAGCGCCAAGTCACAACAGAAGTCATCTTAGGGAATTGAACAGAAACATTCATGTACATAAAAAGTAAGTTACATTATCTATCTGAGAAGCAGACTGCTTTGAGTCTAACTTCATCGCAGACTCTCATCGCAAATAAACACATGGAATAAGGAGAACAAATCCAATGTTTTTATAGCTTTCTTGTTATTAGAGTCAGACATGTTTACAATGTACTGTTCAGACTCCTTTTGGAAGGCCTAGAAAGAGATAATAGAGTGACTAAACTTTGTTTAGTGTATGTGTTATTTCCCTAAGAGTATGAATGCGCGATATAAACGGTATACGGTAGAAACGATAGAAATTTATCCTACAATAGAGATCTGTCTTCTACCGGCTAACCGCAGTAATGCTGTGTCTGAAGTAAAATCAGAGTTGTCAGTTTAATCGTTACTTTTTTTTTGTTGAAAACTGTGCATAAATGGTGTTCAAGTGTAAAATCAGAGCTGTCAGATTAAATCGTTACTTTTTTTTTTTAGTTTAGTTTAGTGGCGTTAAAGTCTTTTCTTCAAGAGCTAACTGGCAAAGCTACAAGCTAACTACAGCCGGCTTGCCGTGGTGTTGCCGTATTCTGACGCATGCGCAACATGCTGTGTTCCGTCGAAAGTTTTGGGGGGTTTTTTTCCATCGAAAGTTAAAGTAAGCGTTGGTCATCTGTAGAGAAACCTGCTCTCTGATCTGTAAAAGAACTCTGTGTTGTGTGATTTTACTGAGAGACCCTCTGGTCAAAGCCGCAGACTCATTTTGTGTCAGTTCCATTAAAGCGGAAGGAGACGCCCACTAGAGGGTTGGAGGGTGAAGTGTTTCAGTGTAAAATGCTGCTCTGTTGCTGTTCATTTCTTAAGTAAAACTGGAAACTGTTAAGAGTTAACAAAATCCAAAAAAGTTCAATCTGGTCCTCTGGACATTCAAAAAAAAAAAAAAACAACAAAGCAAAAAAATCTAGAAACGTTTCGTCTCTCATCCAAGAGACTTTGGATCATCAGGCCAGGATTCTGCGGTCTACACTCATCTCCAGGCCAGCGGTCACTCTTTCAGAGATGAAGATGTTCACATCCTGGACAGAGAGGAACGATGGTTTGAGAGAGGAGTAAAGGAGGCCATCTTTGTGAAAAGAAATCGTCCATCATTAAACAGGGGTGGAGGCCTCCGGGTTCAACTGTCCCCCTCTTACAATGCTGTGATTGCTAGTATCACTCAGCCCTCTGTGAACAGTAAACAGCCATCAGGTGCTAATGATCCATTGTTAGGCTGATGGTCCTTCTTGAGCATGTGATCAGCTGGTTCTGGTTGTCAGCAGCAAAACTGGTTGATCCACTCTGAGAAGGTGCTATTTAAGAGACTGAGCTGAAAACAGCACCTCAGACTGAGGAAGTCTCTTGGATGAGAGACGAAACGTTTCTAGATTTTTTTGCTTTGTTTTTTATTTTTTTATTTTTTTTGAATGTCCAGAGGACCAGATTGAACTTTTTTGGATTTTTCTACCTGGATTATTGAGCATGCATCAGGATAGTTAACAAAATTTTTTTTGTTTAAAACATATGGCTAAAACTACATTTGATATCTTTTGCACTGTTTTGCACTACAAGAAAGAAGCCTAATAATTGATTTGTTTATTATTTAAAAAATCTCTGGACCTAGTAGTAGGGATGGGGCCGATCCGATCCAGTATTGGTATAGGCCTCCGATACCAGCAAAATTTACGTATCGAATTTTCCAATCCACCTGCCGATATTTCCAATCCATGCATGTATGTGGTTGCGCTGCATGTTGGCTTCAAACTATGGAATGGATTTCCTGAACGGCGGCGTGTCTCATGAACCCAGAGTAATAAGACCCGCCTCACATTCAGGAAATCCAGTTCATAGTTTGCAGCAGCTACAACGTGAGGACTGAGTTAGCAGCACTGTGGCTAACAGCTAACAAACTTTTCATCTAAACATGTCCGCTGTGTGCAAGTATTTTACACTAAACACCACAAAACAAGACAGCAACGTGCACTGTCTGCAGAGCCATAGCGCCACATTAAACTGCGGTAAAGTTAGTTTTACGATGGACATTCGAGCCCCATGGCTTCAGCGAGGCGCTGCTCTTTGCTCAACCCAAAACAAGCGACTCGACACCGGCCAGCCCCGCTCAGTCTGCCCCGCTCAGTCTGCCCGTCTCTGAGGAGGGACAGACTGAGCACGGCTGCCCCAAATCAGGCTGCCTGCTTCGGTCTGAACAAGAAGAAGACATCGCTGAAACCAAGGAGCTCAAATGTTTACAGAGAAGTTGCTAAACTTCATAATTAATGATCAACCACTATCAGTTGTAGAAAACAAAGGATTTCACAGTTTGATACTTGCAGCCAAGATATAGTTTACCCTCCAGGAGATATTTATCAGTACAACAGTAGACACTCATAAAAAACATATGATTTGAAAATTATATATATTAAAAACATAAACAGCTACATTATAAAGTGATGTAAAATACTAAAAACAGGAACATGCCTGTTGGTTTATGCC